AGTCAGACCATAAACTCAGTCAGTTTTAAGTTCTGTTTAAAACATAACGATGAATGCATGTTATATAGACAGTCAAATCTCATTTAACCATTTCATACCATTTTTATTATTTGAATTCTTTTTTCTTGTGTTTATATTCAAAAAGTAATACTTATTGTTTATATCTTGTCAGTATTCAGAAATGTGCTCTTAAAACAAACAAATTGTAACATTTTTTAGTGAGCAACATTATTTTGAATTTTCTGATGAAGTACAGAAAGTCTCATCATCGTGACTACAATTTAATAGAGTTTCACGCCTTTGCTGTCACTATTATTTTATTGATTTTCATTGGAAGTAACAATAATTAAATATACGACGTGACCGTGACTGACAGCATAACATCACTACTGCACTTGTTAAGCACATTTTGTTTAAATTTCAAAAGAAATGTTGTATCTTGCAGCTTCCACAGTTAAAGGCAATGATGACGTTTAATTTAAAAGTTAAGGATTGACTTTTTTTACATGTCGGCATACGTTCACCGAATCGAACGCAGTCATATGTCATAAAACCACCCATATGCCATATTAAAAAACAGAATTTAAAATAGTAAATATTTTTTGACGAAACATGAAGGTTTTAAATAATAACAAAAAAAAAATAAATAAATCGAATAATACAATATATAATATAATATATAATAACGAAAAACGAAACTAAAAAATTAAGAAAACAGAAATCAAAAATATTGAAAATTCTCACGAAATTAAATGAAATAATATAAAAAAAATAACATAAGATTAAAAAAAATAAAATAAAATCATTTACTATATGTTAATGATCTATTATAAAATTTTAATAAAAAATTAAAAAAAAATCTGTATAAATTATAGAATGCTATAAAGTCTTTCAGCGGTGATATAAAAATAGAGTTTGGATAACGTCAATGTACAATAGTTCACTTATTAAGAGAATTAGTACAAGATGTTGAGAAAGTCAATCATGATTTTAAAACAAAACGAATGAAGAATCTTCATAGAAATGAACCTTACCAGGAATATGCAAAAGTTTATTCCGGTATAACTAAGAGATGGGTCCAGCAAAATAGACGCAGCATATTAATTTGACACACACTTCATTTTGTTTGCCTGACATTAAACTACAAATATATATAGGTAAGTTGAGTCTGCCAAAAACTAGCCTCTATATTTTTTCGTTTAGTCATCATGCTGAATTTTGAGAGAGACAGAGAGAGAGAGAGAGTGAGAGAGAGAAAGAGAGAGAGAGAGAAAAAAAACATTTTGCTTTTCTTATTCAATTGAAAGAAAAAAGCAATTGAAATTCATAATTTGATGGTAGAAACTTATGGTGAACATGCTTCCATGGATTAGAATATGTAAGACGTAGTTCCGACAATATAAATGTAATCATTTTTATATTAAACACAATGAACACTCGGATAGACGTTAAAATTGTGAAGAAGAGCAATTACAGAAGTTATTGAATGATGACCCAACTTAAAAACAACAGCCATTAGCAAAAGTTTTAAACATTTCACAAGAAACAATCAGCAGACGTTAACGCACAATGAGGGAGATCAATAAACTGAGTAAACTCAAAAAATTGCAAAATCACTTCTGATATTCCCCTTCAACGCCACTAAAGATAATCATTACAATAGATGATAAAAAATGGATTCATTTTGAAAAATAGATGCGGAAAAAATTCTCATTCATTCCTGTCTCTATAATCTTCTTATTATTTACTTCGTATAGTGGGGCATAGGACCGCAACGATTCTCTTGAACTGCACTCTGTTAAGTGCTTCTCTGCATATATCGTTCCATGTGTGATGCGGTTCTTTGATTTCTCTTTGAATTGTCTTTCTACAAGTTAAATCCGGTGCATCAGAGCATCTGCAGCCTTGTGGGTCTCACGTCAAAGGTTATTGTAAAATGTATATATTTAGTTTTTGAATTGTATGCTGGATAGTATTAATATGTCTATATGGTAAGTTCAGTATAATAATACATATATATAAAGTCATTAAATTTAAGAAATAAATACGTAATATTTTGACTTTTGATGAATTAAGACTGTTTAAATTTTGGTATGAAGTAACTTGAAGGTCAATGTTAAGGAAATAATACTGTTGCAATATTTGGCAATATCTATTATAATACTGTTATAATGAAAGTGAGTGAGCAGAAAAAACAAAAACAAAAAATTTTAAATCAAAACGTAAGCTGATTTTTACAATACCTCATATGTAATACTAATATATGTAATACCTAAGACCATAAAAGAGTTCAACATCAACAACAGCAACAACAATTTAAGAAGCTTGAACATTAACTTGTAGTTTGAAATTTGTGTTGGTCAACTTGTAGAACCTAAACCACCCAATGGTTCTTTAACAATAAAATATACTAAAATGAATTATATAACCATCACTCACAATTGATTTAAATATTAAAAATTTAAAATTTTCCTACTTGAAGTGAACTTATCAACATGAGATACATAATCTTCAACAAAATACAACTCAAGGTAAATATTTGTACTATAAAGTTGTTGCACTTTGACGTAATATTGCAATTATTTCCGGATCAAAAAAATTAATATACATAACAGGTTGGTATACAAATATTTTCAAAAACTTGTATAACATTAAGTAGTAACTTAAAATTGTGAATCTTAAGGAAAAAAGTAGTGTGCAATGGGCTTTGATATTCCCACAAGATACGAAACTATACTAACTTAAGCTCTAATTAACATTTCAACATAGATATCAGCACAGCATGCGGTACAATGTGTTTGACATCCTTCAAAGGTGCGTTGCTATCACTAAAATGTAGCCAAAGTTTTGTAAAAAGAAGTTTTGTAAATATATATACTTGCTTCAGTTTGTACTGAGTCTGTACTTGATATCTGAGAAAATTTAAAATAAATTGCTAATTATATAGTTTTACCTCATTTAATTTCCTTTCAATAATACTGCGGTAAACTTTAGACAAAATTAAATTGCAAATCTGACAACTTTAAGATAAAAACTTTTTTAGATGAAAAAAATTTTAAAATTTTAAGTTATGCATCAGTTGAGTAACCACATTGGGCTTACAAAATACAGGGTTATTCATCTTATATTGTTGAAAGTAAACGTAAACAAAGTAAGCTTGCGATTCAAACATCTGAATAATATTATTATTGCTAAATGTTGTTGTTATTCCAACTTTGTCCTGAGGTGTACAATACGACATCGTTTAAATGCCATCTATAGCATGTCTAAAAGTGCTAGATATTTTTGAGGAATTTTATATAGTTAACAATAACTCAGTCATAAAATTTTCAAACATCTATAGTTTATAATATGTTCAGACAGCCAAATTTCCTTAATTTCGTAACAATGAAATTAAGTTAATTTCGAAAGTGCTTATACGGCCCAAAATTGAGGAAATCAAATTAAGGAAATTTGTTTACAAATCGAATGTTAAAAATTACTTGCTCCAAATACCATTTGTATCTGGGAAATTTTAAAAGTTATTATTATAACTATAAAGCATGGCATTCAGTAGTTTTATTTGCTTTAGTGGATTTCAGATAAGTGAATTACTATTTTTCACTCTATTTTAAAATAATAACAGTTACAGTTCTTTCTCTATGTTCAAATTTAAAAATTTGTATTGCTTTGAAAATATTTCCCAGTTTTATTAAAGTCAATTGTCATTGACATTTATTTAAAAAAAATGTCACTTTTTCGTTATCTTAACTTTAGCTTTAGCATAAGATTGATCTTATGTGTAAGATTTAAAATGTCCCTTAATTTCAGCCTTCGTTTCAATGAAATTAAGAACATTTTCCTTAATTTCGTTCCAACCGTAAAATTGAATTTTGTATGGAAAAAACAACTTAATTTGGCTGAAACGAAGATGAAATGAAGAGTTTTGTGAAGTTAAGGTGTGTCTGAACATAGCATTATATTATACATGTGCTTCACTATATCTTTATTTAAATTCAAGTTCAGTTTTCATTACAAGATATGTCTAAAATGGCTGTAATTTAATTGGGTCAAAATCGATTAACAGAATTTCTGGTATACTGTGATCAGATATACGAAACAATTGCCTCATCACGCTTCTCAGAAAGAGGGGCTTGTAAGAATTCTATCTGAGGTGGTGTGGTAATCTCGGATACTTCGTATCCGAAACAATATTTTCGTTTGTTACTTCGACCAATACGGAATTGTGTTGCACGTCCTTAGATGCTGTTTCGTAGAGTCCAAATGCCTTAGCTAAACACTTTTCATTGACGATGTGATCAATGAATTCCTCAGAATTCTATCTGAGGTGGTGTGGTAATCTCGGATACTTCGTATCCGAAACAAAGTTTACGTTTGTTACTTCGACCAATACGGAATTGTGTTGCACGTCCTTAGATGCTGTTTCGTAGAGTCCAAATGCCTTAGCTAAACACTTTTCATTGACGATGTGATCAAAACTCACATACTCAGGAACTTTTCCAAAGGACTAAGCCAAACAAAACATATTGTATGGTTTTTGGTAACGTCCTATCGAAAACACAAATATTAAAAAAAGTATATAATTATGTTTAAGTTTTGATAAGAATTGATGGTTTGGTCACACTTTCGTAATTTTTAAAAAGATTACGTGGCTATCACACCTACAGGGGCTATAACAATTAAAAACCATATTATATAGTATACGTTACTATTCAAGACAATTTGTTTTGTTGATATATGCACAAAACAAAAATTGATTCACATCACCAAAAAATACTTGTGGCGAAAAATTATCATCATTTTTGTTAAAAGTTTCCATAGTTTAAATAAATTTAGTAATGGGTGAAATGACAAATGTTATTAAATCAAATAATATGATGCCTTGGGTTACAATTTGATAAGACCCATAATTAAAATTATTTATAATATTACAATTTATTTATTTAAAAATCTAAGAAAGTATAAAAAATATATATAATATTTTATTTTAGTGTACATACGAATGATATCATAGGAATATTCCATGCCGAAGCCAATAAAGCTTCATATGTACAGCTCTCGTCTGGACCAATGAAAGCGACAACGTTTTCCTCACGCATTTGTGTCATAAATCTGTAAATTATGTCAATTAATTACATTTTTGTAAACACAATGTTTTCAATTATTTTTAAATAAATATTTTAGTTTTATTAATTACAATTATTAAAAGCAAATATATAATTTAAATGCATTAAGTGCCCTTGGAGCACACGATGTATATTTGACTCACACAAACCTGCAAAGGCTTGTACTTAGACTAATGTTATTTTAAAATTAATTTAAAACTCGAAAAAAAAAATTTTTTTTTGTTGTTGTAAAATCACACAATGTCATTTACAATTAAAAATAATTAGGAATTAAAATTTTACAAATTGATGAATATTGCAACATGTTCCTGCCATTAAATTTACCACATAAAAACTGTAATTTTTTATATGAACAAAACAGCTGCTTGAAAGTTGCATTATTCAGTGTTTTCATATATTACAATCACATTTTTTTTAAATTTAATTTTTTTTACAGTTATCCGGAACATTTTTACTCATTCTGCACAGTGCGGACTATATAACCCCTTTATTCAATTTTACTTATTCGGTTTTTTAACCTCACAGCTCTTGCATAGCCTCCAAGACAGCCTTTCAACTATGCTTACGGTGTCCTCTCCTTATTGTCATTAACATTGAATAGTCTTGAATAATTTTTTACTATCTACTTAAAAACGCGAATCTATTTAACCCACTGGACTTTGATAAACTTATCATAATTTGTATCTTTGTTAAATGGAAGCAAAAGTTTTGATTTGTTTTTTTTATTAAGTGGCATTCCTTTTAATCTCATATTTGAAGTTTGTAAAGTTCTTATTTTCAAATGAGTAATTATCCATACTATTAGCCTTGTTAATACTTTGTTCGTCATTAGTATTTTAGATTGAAGTTATACCAGTTTAGAGATTTTATAGTCCCAATTACACTCACAAAATACTAGATCATATCTTCAGGACAGAACGTTTTGTATAAAGGTTGAAAGCTATACAATAGCTAATCTTGACAGAATATACCAAACGAGTGTTTGAATATACCAAAGAACACTCGACTTGTCACTTCTATGTTAGCTGATGATACCGCTATCCTTAGTTCTCATCAAAATAGATTCATAACACCAAGAGACTAAATTGAACAACTCGAACTCATTGAAACTTGACTGATCAAGTGACGTATTTGCATAAACAAAAGTTAAAGCATGCATGTAACGTTTACCCTGTGTAACGATACATATCTCCCAGTTAGCCTAAACAGCATCACTACTCCATAATCAAACACCGTATTGTATCTGGGTGTTCATTTGGATTGGAGACTAAATTGACGCAAACATCTTAAAGCTAAGTGAAGTCAAATAAAGCTAAAGGCACCAAAAGTTCTTTGGTTATTGGTTATAGCAAAAACTCCATGTTACGGCTAAATCACAAAGTGTTGCTCTATAATAGTTCACTTAAGCCAATCTGAAAATATGGTGCTAAATTATGGAGCAACGCATGTTCCTCTAACATTGACTTAATTCAACGTGTTCAATCCAATATCCGTATATAGGGGACGATAAGATTCATGAAGTTCTGAAAATACCACTCATCAAAGATGAACCATTTCACACTTCGAGTCCCAAATAATATCATCTTGTTCTTTACTGTCTTTTTAATTTATTTAAGGCCATCGGCTAACCCATGTAGTGTCAATACGCTAGTATGATCGGATACCCAATATTCCTTGGGGTTATTTAAGGTATCAGAAATTGCGTATAGGTGACACTAGGTATTTGGAAGAAGATCCTTTGTAAAATCAAATGCACATATCCATATTCCTTATAAATATTAAAAATTTTATCTATTTTTGAATTTGAAACAAAATTAACCTATTAGTTTTCAATTAGTGAATTAATAAATAATAAAATTAATGAAAAAGTGATCGACATATGCTAAAATTTTTTCTTTTTAAGAATCAGGAATATCCTATATATATATTTTAATTCAATCCTTTCAGAGCATCGGTGGTTTAATGGTAGAATGCTCGCTTCCCAAGCGGGCGGCCCGGGTTCGATTCCCGGTCGATGCAAGTTTTTTATATAACATTTCATATTTTTTAATTTCAATTAGTTGGAAATAAATCGAACAATTCATACTTATTAGCTCTAACAATATATTTGACAAAATTATTAAATTTACTTCATATAATTTAATAATTATATTTTTATATTATTTATACTATATTATTTATACTATATTATTTATTTTAGATTTAGATTTAGATTTGCCTAAACTTATATTCACATTAATAGAAAATCGCACTTACAAAGACACCAGAGGACTGCAATAATTCATAATTTTAACACTCAGAGTACACTCATGAAAAATCAAATATAAATGAGTAAAAATATTTTTCTCACACATTATCATTATGCATTTATATTCGCCGCAGAAATGATTTAAAAGTATATTCGTTAAGGATAACCGGTGCTAACGTATCAGTTTCACAAGAATACATACTCATTTCTAATTAGAGTAGTACCTATAAGTGAATCATGAATCATAGCATATACTCAAGTGAGTGTGAATATACTTATCGAAAATAAATGATTGGAATCACTTGTAGCATTCAAAAGTGCTGTGTGTGACCGTTGTTGTTTGCTAAGCAAAAAAATGTGTGATATTTTGAAATGTGAATAAGAAATAAATATTTTCCTGGATATTAAAATATATTTTTTTGTAAGAAAACTACTCGTTATCACGTTATTATTATATTTTCTTAACCATCATTAGACCCCAAAAAATGCAAAACGAATGAAGTTCATTAATATTCATAAGATGAGTAGTCCATTCCTATAAATCTATACTGTAAAAACTTTTGAAAAAAAATTTTTCTGAATCTATTAACATACAAAATTTTGCAGAAACTCTATGTTTTATTTGTTTCGAAAATAATATTAAAGAAATCAATTTTTGTAGAGAACCTAATTTGTTTTTATTTCAGCAGTTTCGAAAATTTTTTTGTTATAATAGAGATTATTTTGAATCAAATGCATATATTATGCTGGATGATCAACTCTTTTTCACGAAGACCAGATGCGGGTTCACACGATATATGGTAAGAGAATATGGCAAATTTGGAATCATACAGATTCCGATGAAACAGAAATTTCAATGACAGTGGCAAGCATCTGCCATTAAATATGTGATAAATGAACTTCTCTATGGATATATGCAGAAAATGTAAATAAAGGAAAACCTAGGTATGAAAAAATTCTGAGATATTAAATGAAATACATTTTTTAATAAAATTTTTAAATGAAATAAAATAAAAATAAAATGTTTACAATAAATAATTACAGCATAAGTTGAGTATCCTTCTTATTATACTACAAGTATTAAAGTACTTTACGAAACAATTAATTTGTGTTTAATAATATGAGTATTATACTTACTCTAACTTATTCATCAGTAATAATTTCCTTGATAGATAAATTTATTATCAGATATTGCATCAACTGAGTACCACGCCATCTATTGAGTTGGGCCTAATGCTGCACCTAATGCCACATAATCATTAAAGTAAACAAATGTCACCATTATCTACTTTTAAACTTAAAGGTTGCTTCACAGTGGAAGGCTAGTGAGTATGGAAACGGCTTCGTTCTAAATCTTTTCAATTTTACTTCAAATAATATTGATTACATCTTACCCATTCTCAATTTCTTTGTGAGATGTAATATAAAGTTCCTTTCTAGAGACAAAAACCTGTCAGAAAGTTACGAATTGTACCCTTGGTACTTGCAGTCTCAGAAAATTATTTACGAATAATTAAATATAAGAAATAATTTCAAGACCACTGATAATCTTGGTACTTGGTAATACTCGAGACAGCTGTATGGTCAGCCGAAAATTCAATTAATTAAAATAACAGAAAACAATTCTTTATGTTTAATTATAATTTTCTTAATTTTATTCTTTGATTTTTTAGTTTCATTTTTTTATTTTATTTTCTGATTATATATAAGTAATATAAAATGTTTGCTAATTTTGATATTTATTTTTATGGGCACATAATATGATTCTTTTTTGTCGTGATAAAAATTATATAAACAACACCTTCATATGTGAATACATTCAATTAATTAAGAAGGGTATATTCTTTCAGTTATATAAATAACCTTAAACCCTGGTATCAGAACTTTATTGAAATCATTGATTTTCGCATGTGATAAAAACGGTCACTTTTTTTGAACTGTTTTGTCCATATTAGGAACTAATATTTGTTAAAGTCACCTATAACTGATACAACACTACGAATCGTTTAGGATTTGATTAAATTTCGACATAGAGCACAATATTATTTGATACTATCTTGAGATACTATCTGAGATTTTAATTTTCGATTACTTAGTATTCATATTTTAACCTCAAAAATGAATTTTGAATATTGTTCCCTAGTTAACTATATTAAAATTTTTAAAATTTGTGGAATTAATTTATTGTAGTATTTAACTACTACTCATAATTTATAATGGTACATAAGAGTACTGTTTAAAACAAATGTATCTCATATTTTTATATCATATTTACAAAGGCAGTATCCAATTTTATGTGTATGGACAACGAAGAACCGCACACTTTAAATTCTATATTAAAATTAACACTTTATCCAATTTCTTTCAGTTATACTTATAAACATATTTATACAAACCAGATAAGAATTATAATTCTCAATAAATCAAATCAACTTTAAAATCAAATTGATGGGAATTATAATATTTATATTTTTTTGTCGTATGTTCCAAAATAAAAATGCATTTATTTCAAAAACTATAATATTTAAAAATACATTACAAAGTAATTTCTATGAAACCTAATACCAAGAACTTAGTGCTTACCAACTGAAAATTAATGTGAAATTAATATAAAAAATTGACATTCTCCGCTTAAACCATACTTGACATATTTTTTGACATATTCTGAGATTTAGTTGGCGCTCTTAATAGTTTTTAATTTTTAATCAAGAAAAGTAGAACACATGAATGTTCCCTGC